GCTCGATGAGTTTTCGGCTGCAAATTTCAATAATTGCATCTTATAATCCGGGACGAGACAGCAACCAGACCGGGACCAGACCGGGACCGGACCGGAGGCTCAGAGCCCAGGGCATGGCCGGAGCTCGAAGCTGAGGCTCGGACCCTGTGGAGGCTTGGAGTCAAAGCTCAGAGTCCGCTCTGGTCCTGCTCTGGTCTCTGGTCCTGCTCTGGTCCTGCTCTGGTCTGGCTCTGGTCCCGGTCTGGTCCTGGTCTGGTCCCAGACCTGGATCAGTCCTGGTTCAGTCTGTATGCAGTGCAAAAGTCCGGCACCGCAGTCACGTAAACGGCCGTTATCTGTTTTTTTCCATTCTTCATTTAAACACAAAATCGAAAATCTGTTTTTTCATTTTGGTTTTGGAGACAAATAATGAAGAAAACATTTGTTTTTTTCGTTTTTTGAATTTTTAGTTTTATATTGAAAAAAGAATGAACGAAATGATACACAGATTTGATCAGAACCTCATTAACCTCTTTGGACTGTAAAACTGTTTTTGTAATTGAGATAAAAGAAAACACTGCATCAAACTGTTTAAAAATGTGATATAAATATGAATCTAACTGTAGTTCTTTTTTAATTGCTCGTGGTTTTTAAGTATCCCGTTGCTGACCTTCTTTCACTTTGACCGTGGGCAGCACATTACCAGAGAGCACACACACAGAGAGAGAGAGGGGCATCATGGGACTTGTAGTTTTCTGAATATAAATATTACACTATGACTGCGCGCTGAAGGAGGGAAACTGTAATTTAGCAGAAAATCCTGATTCCGGCTTCGATCCCGCGCCGCCTCTAGTGTTACAAGCCCCACCTGATGAATATGCATGACGCTCGCCGCACTCCAGCCCCTCGAGGTTTTCTGACGATTTTAAATAAAGATAATAAATCGTTTAAAAGTGTCTCAACTGTTTCCACTCTCTCTCTCTCTCTCTTTTCTCTTCTCTTCTCTTCTTATCTCCTGTACTTTCCGTCGCCGCCCGCCGGTTGCCATGACGACAGTACTTCTACGACGGGATGGAGATGAGCAGCCTTCCCGTGGAGCTGACCGTCATCTGGAACGGAGATTTCAGTATCGACAACCCGGCCCTCAATAAAGGTAATGTACTGCGACGGTCCTGAAAAAAAATGAAAAATGTAGACGTTTTGACCTGTAATATGTGATTCTTAAAGCTGCACTGTGTAACTTTTCGGGCGGAGGGTCCGTCAAACGCTTTTCTCCGCGGAGATGTTTCACGGTGTGGTGTTTTCGTGGAGTATTTTTTGAGCCATAAAGCCACCTGTAATAATGTAAAGGTAGAGCTGCTTAATGTCACGCTGTGGAACATTCCAGGCAGAGCAATGACGTCTCCATGGAAACGAGCAGGTGACGGACACACGGCCAAAAAGTTTTAGTGCTCTATCGTTCTCCCTTTCTCTTCTGTTCCTCTCTTTTTTCTCTCTTTTTTTAGTCTCTCTCATCTTTCTCCTTGTATCTGTCCCTCTTTCTTTTTCTTCTTCTTTCTTCCCTCTCTTTTTCTCTCTTCTCTACATCCCTCTCTCTCTCTCATGTCTGTGTCTCTCCTCTCTCTCGCTCTATCCATCCACCTTTTTTTTAAATCTCTAACCTCTCTTTTAATCTTTTAGTTTTTCTTAGACCCCCTCCTCTCTCTCTCTCTCTCTCTCTCTCTCTCTCTCTCTCTCTCTATCTTTTACTCACTCTGTCTATCACTTCTCAGTCTCTGTATCATCCTTTTCTCACTCTTCTCTCTCTTTCTTTCTCTGTTTCTCTCCTCTCCCTTTCTTTTCTGTTTTTTTCTCTCTCACACACGCTCTATCTTTTATTCTCTCTTTCTATCACCTCTCTGTCACACCCTTTTTTCACTCTCCCTCTCTTTCTCCTCTTGGTCTCTCTTTTTCCTCTCTTCACTGTCTTCTTTTTCTCTCTCTCTCTCTCCTCTTTTTCTCCTTTCTCTCTCTCGTTCTCTCTCTAACACTCGATTGTTTACTCGCTCTGTCTATCGCCTCTCTGTCTCATCCTTTTCTCAGTCTTCTCTCTTTTTCCGTTCTCCCCCTCTCTCCTCTTTCTTTCTCTCGGTCTTTTTCCTGTCTTCACTGTCTTTTCTCTTTCTCTCTCTCCTCTTTCCTCTTCTCCTCTCTCCTCTCTTTTTCTCTTCTCTCCTTCTCTTCCTCTCTCTTTCTCTCTCTATCTTTTACTTGCTCTGTGTATCATCCTTTTCTCTCTCTTTTTCGCTCCTCTCCTTCTCTTCCTCACTCTTTCTCTCTTTATCTTTTACTCGCTCTGTCTATCACCTCTCAGCCTCTGCATCATCCTTTTCTCACTCTTCTCTCTCTCTTTCGCTCACATTTTTTCATCTCTCTCTCTCACACGCACACACACAGACTCTCTCTCTTTCTTTTTATCTTTTACTCACTCTGTCTCTTTGCTCTCTTTTCTTCTCTCTCTCTATCTTTTACTCGCTCTGTCTATCACCTCTTTCTCTGCATCATCCTTTTCTCACTCTTCTCTCTCTCTTTCGCTCGCTTTTTTCATCTCTCTCTCTCTCACACACACACACACACACACACAGACTCTCTCTCTCTCTTTCTTTTTATCTTTTACTCGCTCTGTCTATCACCTCTTTCTTCTGCATCATCTTTTCTCACTCTTCTCTCTCTTTGCTCTCTTTTCTTCTCTCTCTCTCTCTCTCTCTATCTTTTACTCGCTCTATCACCTCTTTCTCTGCATCGTCCTTTTCTCACTCATCTTTCTCTTTTTCTCTTCTCTCTCTTTCTCTCTCACACACACGCTCTCTCTCTCTTTTACTCGCTCTGTCTATCACCTCTCTTTCTCTGCATCATCCTTTTCTCACTCTTCTCTCTTTCACTCTTTTTCATCTCTCTCTCTCTCTCACACACACACACACACGTACGCACACACACACACTCTCTCTCTCTCTTTCTTTTTATCTTTTACTCGCTCTGTCTATCACCTCTCTTCTCTGCATCATCCTTTTCTCACTCTTCTCTCTCTCTTTCGCTCGCTTTTTTCATCTCTCTCTCTCACACACACACACACACACACACACTCACTCTCTCTTCTTTCTTTTTATCTTTTACTCGCTGTCTATCACCTCTTTTTCTGCATCATCCTTTTCTCACTCTTCTCTCTTTCGCTGTTTTTTCTCTCTCTCTCTCTCTCTCTTGCTCTCTCTCTTTACACACACACACACACACACACACACACACACTCTCTCTCTCTCTCTCTCTCTCTCTCTCTCTCTCTCTCTCTCTCTCTCTCTCTCTCTCTCTCTTGCTATCTTTTACTCGCTCTGTCTATCACCTCTCAGCCTCTGTATCATCCTCTTCTCACTCTTCTCTCTCTTTCGCTCTTTTTTTCTTCTCTCTCTCTCTCTCTCTCTCTCTCTCTCTTTTATTCGCTCTGTCTATCACCTCTCAGTCTCTGCATCATCTCTCTCTCTTTCTCACACACACACACTCACTCTCTCTCTTTCTTTCTCTCTATCTTTTACCAGCTCTGTCTATCACCTCCCAGCTTCTGCATCATCCTTTTCTCACTCTTCTCTCTCTTACTCTCTCTTTTTCTCTCCTTCCTCTCTCCTTCCTCTCCGTCTCTCCTGCGCTCTCATTCATATCGATGCACTGTAAAACGACTTCCCATTGTTGCCCCCTCGGAGCTTGTTTCCATGGCAACAGGCCGAGTCTCCCCCATCTCCTTCTGTGGAGTGGTTTAACTTTAACACATCTGCCGCGACGTTTTCTCCTTTGGTGTTGAGTGACCGTTTTAATTGGCTGTTTTCAGATCGCGAAATAGCGTGAGATGATGGGGCACGAGCCGCTGTGTCTGTAGTTTCTTTTTTTGTTTTTTTTTTTTTAGGACGTTTTAAAAAGAAATACACAAAAAGACAAATCATAAAAGCTGAATCTGATTATTTCGGTTAGTGACGGGGTTCATTTGATTTAATATCGATCCAACTCAAACACAAAATCTCTTTACAACTCAATAAAACAATACTAGAGACTTTTATGTGATCTGAAATTCTGAAATTGGCATCGAAATTGTTAAAAACGTGACAGTAGTTCAGTCGGTGTTGGGCAAGTTACTTCAAAACTGTGATGTGTGTATTTATTTATGACGTGTTTCTGTCATTTTAAAGTAATTTGTTACTGTACAATATTACTGTGTTTAAAATATAAAACATTACACGACTATTGCAGCACTTTTAAGATACTCTCAACAAAATAACAAATAATCAGTGAGCGACGATGACGAACTTTGTGCCGAGGACTAAACCAGGACTGAACCAAGGACTAAATTAGAGCTGAACCATGTTTAAACCAGGACTAAACTAGGGCTAAACCAGGACTAAACTGAGGACTGAACCGAGGACTGAACCACATCTAAACCAGGACTAAACTAGGACTAAATCAGGTCTAAATCAGGTCTAAATCAGGTCTAAACCAGGTCTAAACCAGGACTAAACTAGGACTAAATCAGGTCTAAACCAGGTCTAAACCGAGGACTGAACCAGGACTGAACCAGGGGGACTGAATCAGGTCTGAACCAGGTCTAAATCAGGAGTGAACTAGGACTGAACCAGGACTGAACCAAACCTGAACCAGACCTGAACCAGACCTGAATCAGGACTAAACCAGGACTGAACCAGACCTGAACCAGACCTGAACCAGACCTGAATCAGGACTAAACCAGCACTGAACCGAGGACTGAACCAGGACTGAACCAGGGCTAAACCAAGACTAAACCAGGACTAAACCAGGACCAGGACTGAACCAGGACTAAACCAGGACTAAACCAGAACTGAACCAGGACTAAACCAGATCTAAACCAGGACTGAACCGAGGACTGAACCAGATTTAAACCAGGTCTAAACCCAAGCTGAACCAGGACTAAACCAGGACCAAGCAAGGACTAATCTTGGACTAGGACCTTAGATCGCCTCTGAGAGAATCCTGAGCCCGCGGTCACCTGATGGATCTACATGGACACACCTCTGGACCCGACCCGACATTCGGAACCGTAACGATGGTGTTTCACCACTGCTGACATCTCGGTGATTTAGCGAATTTGTATGAAGGAAAATGAAAAACCCACCACTTCAATCCAGATTAAAAATGCATTGCAACACGTGATACTGACATTTGTATCAAGTAAAATATTACCATTTTTTCCTTGTAATGCCCAACATTACTGTGTTAGAACAAAAAGCAACACATTACAGTAATTTTATACTTTTGTCCTCCACCTGCTTATCTCCATTCTCCTTAATTTGTTTTTTTATTGACCTAAAAACGTGCGTCCTTGCGTTGAGTGGGTTCACCTCTCCACAAATCTGACATGTAACTTGATTCTGTGGCGCCAACTGCTGCCTCTGTAGAGATAAATAAGTGTAATGCCACACTGCGGAACATTCCAGGCAACATCTCCACCAGAAAAGTCGTGCTTATTGTCAATACGAGCCGCCATTAGTACAAAATTTAACCTTTGGACACGTGTAGTTCGTCGCTTGTTATTTATAAGCATCTCGTCTGTCTGACCTTCTTCAACTCTGGCAACACATTACCAATGCAGGGAGAGGGGCATCCTGGGAATTGTAGTTTTCTTTTTAACCAAAGGCACTCGTGTCAGAGAAAGTAATTCTTCTGTTTATTTCGACACCGTGCAGCACTGCGAGCCAGAGTCTGCCTGTGCCCGGGTATCATTTCACAGAGTAAATACTGCATAAATAGCCCGAAGCGGAGACGTATGCGATGGAAATAGTTGACAGTTATACATTAGGAACATCCCACGTGCCGCTAATGACAATTAATGAGAAAATGACTGGCCCGTTGCCATAGAGATGATATGTAAATTATGTGGCGAGGCAGAGGAGCACAGAAAGACGGTCACAACATTCATTATGGTAAACTATGATAAAGAGAGATACGGTGGCTGTGTTTAGTGCTCCGGGGATCATGAAGAGGAAAATAATGTATGTACGTCGAGATGTTTATTCTAAATGTCGTATATTGTCGGTGTAAACATGAAGCCATTTTTGTAAGACATTAAAAAATTGACGATTGTGAGATTTAAGCCATGTTAGAATGTTGTTTACCTTCTCAAAAACAGACCTGGAGTTGTGTTTTGGTTCGTTCACGTTCACATGTTTGAGAAACCCACAAGGCGTTTTTTGGTCGAAATGATGACGTTTTTGTTCGTTTTGGTCTTTCGTCCACATGGAGCCAGCGTTTCGGGTCGGGCAAAAATGGTGTTTTTTTTTTTTTTTTTAATGGAGAAATCTAAGAATGTTGGTGTTGCGTTATCGTTTTGAAAAGCAAACCGCAGCTTGTCCAGTGGCTATTTACTCGTATAAAAAAAAAAAAAAAAAAAATCCAAGAGTGTTGTCATGTGGATGTAGCCTTAGTCTGTCTACATCTCCAAATCTGAAAATGCTCTATTCCACCTTGTGATGTCATGAATTGGTAGTTTACAAAAGATTAGCTGCCGTTTACCTTAAGTTCAGTAGAGATTGGCAATTCCAGGTCTGAAATAATCCAAATGATTCTAGTGAAGGTGTATGGAGTTTATAAACGCAATGGAGCACTTTTGTATCACCACATGACATCACAAGGTGGAGCAAAGTGTTTTCCATTCAAGATAAGAACTCGGCTTAAACGCGCAGGGTTTGTGTGTTAAACATGTGTGAATGAAACAAAACACAACTCCAGGTCTGTTTGTGATGAGGAAACAACATTATAATTTAAATCAGAAAACTACGGAAGCCCTGAGTGGCAAAAGAAAAAAAAAAAAAAAAAGAGGCACGTCATTTGGTCAAGTTGTGTTTTTTTGTTTGTTTTGTTGTTGTTGTTTGCACCAACAACTCAATTAGTTAAATATAATAAAATAAAAAATAAATAAATAATAAAATATATAAAGTAAATAATAATTAATAAAATAAATAAATAATAATATATATATTTTTTAAATTTTGCAATAAACGAGTCTCAATATTTATTTCTTTTGTGTTTTTGCGTTTTGCTTGTTTTTTAATGGCAGATTTTTTTTTTTTTATTTTTTTTAACCTCTTTTTTTTTTTTTTTTTTTCTCTTGCCACTTGGGGCTTCCGTAGAAACAGCTTCAAATGGGCCCTTTAATATTATTTTGTCCTGAATTGTAAATTTTTATTGCAACAGTGCTAGTTTCATCACATATGCATTAAAAGCCATTAAAATAATCTCCATCTTTTCTCTCTTTTTCTCTTTTTTCTTGTTTCTCCAGTTCATCTGTACAAGTGCGATGCTCAGAGGGGGAGCTGTGGCCTGTGTCTGAAGGCGAACCCGCAATTCGGCTGCGTGTGGTGCAAAGGAGAGAACCGCTGCACCCTGAAACAGCACTGCCCCCACCCAGAGAACCAGTTGCTCCAACACAACGGCATCAACAGCAAATGCACCCACCCACGCATCACACAGGTGGGCACAGAGCGAGACAAGACCCCCCCTCCTTCCTCCTTCTCCTCCTCCTTTCTTCCGCTCGCTCGCTGTCAGACTGTATAGGAGACACAAGGGCAAAGAAGGCCAGTGTGAAAGCCGCCAGCCAAATACATGCATTTACATTCAGAATATGAAGTTTTGTGTCTTGTTTAGGGCAAAAGTTTTGGCTTTTCTTACGTTCTGTGGTTCTCAAATTGTGGTAGGTGAGATTCTTCAAGTGGTGCTTCTCTTCATTATGTGGGTTTGACTAATTTAGGGATCATTTAAACAAGGAATTATCCAAATGAGGACATAAAAGTGGATTAAATACACTTAAAATATTATAGAGAGCTGTGCAAATGTCCAGCTGTATCACCGGATCTAAACCAGGTCTATAACAGGACTATTCCAGGTCTCATCTAGAGCTAAACCAGGTCTATAACAGGACTATTCCAGGTCTCATCTAGAGCTAAACCAGGTCTATAACAGGACTATTCCAGGTCTCATCTATAGCTAAACCAGGTCTATAACGGGACTATCCGAGGTCTCATCTAGATCTAAACCAGGTCTACGGTAACAGGACTATCCGAGGTCTCATCTAGATCTAAACCAGGTCTATAACAGGACTATTCGAGGTCTCATCTAGATCTAAACCAGGTCTATAATGGGACTATCCGAGGTCTCATCTAGATCTAAACCAGGTCTATAACAGGACTATTCCAGGTCTCATCTAGAGCTAAACCAGGTCTATAACAGGACTATTCCAGGTCTCATCTAGAGCTAAACCAGGTCTATAACCAGGTCTATATCTAGGGTCTATAACAAGGTCTCATCTATCTAGATATTCTAAACCAGGTCTATAACAGGACTATTCCAGGTTCTCTATCTAGAGCTAAACCAGGTCTATAACAGGACTATTCCAGGTCTGATCTAGAGCTAAACCAGGTCTATAAGGACTATCAGGTCTCATCTAGATCTAAACCAGGTCTATAACAGGACTATTCCAGGTCCTAACTAACCAGGTCTATAACGGACTATTCCAGGTCTCATCTAGATCTAAACCAGGTCTGTAACAGGACTATTCCAGGTCTCATCTAGATCTAAACCAGGTCTATAACAGGACTATTCCAGGTTCATTTAGAGCTAAACCAGGTCTATAACGGGACTATTCGAGGTCTCATCTAGATCTAAACCAGGTCTATAACAGGACTATTCCAGGTCTCATCTAGATCTAAACCAGGTCTATAACAGGACTATTCCAGGTCTCATCTAGAGCTAAACCAGGTCTATAAATAACTATCCAGGTTTCATCTAAGCTTAAACCGAGGTCTCATCTAGATCTAAACCAGGTCTATAACAGGACTATTCGAGGTCTCATCTAGATCTAAACCAGGTCTATAACAGGACTATTCCAGGTCTCATCTAGAGCTAAACCAGGTCTATAACAGGACTATCCGAGGTCTCATCTAGAGCTAAACCAGGTCTGTAACAGGACTATTCCAGGTCTCATCTAGAGCTAAACCAGGTCTATAACAGGACTATTCCAGGTCTGATCTAGATCTAAACCAGGTCTATAATGGGACTATCCGAGGTCTCATCTAGAGCTAAAACAGGTCTACAACAGGACTATTACAGGTCTCATCTAGATCTAAACAGGTAAACAGGTCTATCTAACTAAACCAGGTCTGTAACAGGACTATTCCAGGTCTCATCTAGAGCTAAACCAGGTCTATAACAGGACTATTCCAGGTCTCATCTAGATCTAAACCAGGTCTGTAACAGGACTATTCCAGGTTTCATCTAGAGCTAAACCAGGTCTACAACAGGACTATTCCAGGTCTCATCTAGATCTAAACCAGGTCTACGACAGGACTATTCCAGGTCTCATCTAGAGCTAAACCAGGTCTATAACAGGACAACATCATTCCCACTGTAGTTTATTTTCAGACCTGGTTTAGCTCTTGATTAGATTAGACCCACAATAGTCCTGTTATAGACCTGGTTTAGATTTGACAGCCACTGCGTCAGATATAAAACTATCAGGTTATTCATCTTGTTTTCAGATTTATTATCGACTTTATAGTTCTGAGATGCTTAATTCTACTCCAGAGGTCGTTTATTTTAAGATAACTTGTCAAGTAAAATGATCTTGCTTCATGGACAGATAATTTCACTACTTTTTTCTGATAGATTTAAGTGTTTATATCTAAAGTTTTGAACAAGCTTTGTTGCAGTGTGCTGAACATTCCGTCACAGACATACACATCGAACACCCCCAGCGCGATACCACCCTCAGTTGCTCTACTGGACTTGCCATACAAAACAAAATCAAACATATTTATGAAGAAGGAGTGGACCGGTTTTCGAGAAGCTAAACGAATGTAGATTTTTTGCGCAATATAAGACTACGTTCAGACTGCAACCTGAACGACACAGATCCGATTTTTTCAAATGTTATCCAGGCCGCTTGGACATGTGCTCCTAAAACCGACACATATCCGATCTTTTGACATGCGACTTCAGTCTGAACGGCCAGGTCACATTCATCCCACCTACACATCAGGCTTGAAGTCTAGTCAATGGAGGGAAAGTGAGGTTGGCGAGTTCATTAATATCTGGGGGGATCGCTGTATTCAGGCCAAACTGGAGGGGTTTTATGTCGGGCTGTCGCAATAACCGCGAAAACGAATCACCGCGCTGCATGTTGGGCCACCGTCATCACCGCACACCAACGTGACCCAACCCAGAGTCCTGCACGGGTCCATTTTTGGAGACCTGCACTTGCCCGGACTCGTTAACATTCCACCCGTTACCACCCGCGCTCGTGATAACCCAGGACTAACCCAGGACTAACCCAGGACTAACCCAGGACTAAGGGGCGCCGCGTAGACCATCGGGTGACCGCAGGTGAAAGGACCAGTGCAGAGCTTCGCGTCGCACGGAGTTAAGTGCAGCCGTCTCCTGATCGCGCTTTGCGGACACCTTGCTCTACGGGCTCGGGGTTCTTTCTCTCTTAAGTCTGCGGTTACCCGACCTGGTGCAGGACTCTGACCCGAGCTGCCACAGTGAGACCTGGAGAGATGCATCGGTACTTTTTCCAACGCCAAATGTTACTTCTCCCACGCTACACACGCTATATCCGCACGACAACCAAGGTACATGCGCATCTGCTCAACAAGCGCATCATCGGAGAAAGTTTTCAGTGCCGCTGGAAATATGGTAACTCAGCAGTTATACCGCACCGCAGGAGAAATTCCCTGGTCGCGACAGCCCTAGTCTTATCGGAACTGGGCGGTTTTTGAAATGATTTCCAAAGAAATGTCTGAGCGCGACTACAGACGGTCCTGGCTCCAATGTCGACGAAAAATAAAGAGCCTGCGAGCCAAATACAAGGAGGTTAACTCTTTCCCCCATGAAGACGACATTTGACGACCCCCCCTAAACCCTTAATGACAACTTTTGACACCTCCGCTGTATCACTAAAGACGTGATTTGACGACCTTTAGAAACAGCTCGGTTTTTCACATTTAAACAGAGACTGTGATAGGTCGGGGCCACTACAACCCACACTAGACTGACCAATAGGATTCAAGGATATGTTTTCGCCGATTTTTTCCGAAGTTAATCGAAATAGTGACGATGGTAGTTTCCGGAAAAAACACAACACGAAACACGTGCAATGGAAAGATCGCGGGGCTGCGGCGCACAGTTTTAGAAATAATGAGGAGTGGACGTATTTTATGGATGAGTTTAGAGAAAGTGACTTTTATAGATTTCAAAAGTGATGATGTTGAAGTTGATTATAAAGTGGAAAACAGCGATAGCGACGGACTTTCGGGGAGAAGGTGAGAATGCCGCTGATGCGTCTGTGTGGAGTCCTGCGATGTCCCAACAAACTATCTGAGCTTTATACTCGATTATGAACCAAAATTGCCCTGAAATCTGGATGTTGCCCAGGCCAGTCCTTTAAAATATTTCAGTCTTTTTTTCCAAGATGCGATGTATAACAGAATCGCTACAGAAAAAACACTTATGCGGAGCTCTGCACACGAGAAAATAACCAAGATGACAAATACTGAACACCCACTGACAGGGAAGAGTTTTATTATTATATTATTATATTATAATAAGCTAAATTAGTTGAATAAGCTAAATGAGTTGAATAAATAAAATAAGTTGAATAAGTTAAATGAGTTGAATAAGCTAAATGGAAAAAAACTAATTAGGTGCACACAGGTGAACAACAGGTAAAAACAGGTGCACACTTGGCTATACTGTATCTGGTGATATGAAATCTGTTTAAATACTTTGACAAAGTATATTTTTTATTTTTTTATGAATATAGTACTCAGAACATGCAGATATCAGATGCTGAATGTAGTTTTTTGTTTTCGAGTTTGCACCTGACCAGGTAAACTCTCATTTTCAGTGAGCTGTTATACACCTATAAATGAGTTGAATCACATTTAAACATCCATAAATGAATAGTTCAGAGTCTAAGGTTTCCAGAGATACAAATATGTCTGTGTTACAATTAAGTTCATGAGTGTAAAAATCATTTATAATCACTGGTGGAAGTCTGTTTTCTTTTATGCAATTATGCTCTATGGGTGTAGCCCTAGTAACACATGTATGGGTTGTTCCTAGTCGGCGTCCAGGGGGGAAAGAGTTAAAGACTCAAACAAACGAAGCGGCCGTGGATGTGTAACCTGTCCATTTTACGAAGAACTGGACCGTATTTCGGGAAACAAGCCCAGCGTTTAGGCGACTTCCGTAAACACTGAGCACGATAACTGCTTGTGAAGTCGTCGTGTCCTTCAGTGCACATGCGGGACACTTTTGGGGCGTTTAAAGTTCGCGCTGGAGATCACGTACAAGTCGCATTTAAGTGGAAATGCGAACGACCTCGCAAAAACATCAGATATCACAAAAATTCCCACAACAAAAACAAAATCCGTCTTAATTTCCTCACTTGTTCGTAAGGTTTCTTGTTGTCATTT